TCTTATATAATTTATTGTTCGAACGGACGCTTAAAGTCAAAAGATGACTTCCATATTAAGCTTTTATGCAGCCAACAAGGTAAAAACGAGACAAAAAAAAATCGATTTTTTTAAAAATAATATCCCATTAAAAACTCATATCAGCAACAAGCTCGTTAAATGTGCAATAAATGTCACTACTTAGCGATTACTACATTTTTAATACTGCCACGTTTTTTTCTTAAAATTACCAGCCATAAGGTTATGAAAAAAAATTATAGGTATCAAATTGCTTAATGTGTAATTACTGAGAGATTGCTGAAAGCTTGGCAAAAAGAAGAAAATAGCTTACACTTTAATGATGATTTTTGTAATGGACGCAAAATAAAAATTGGTCGGGTGTTGGGGAAAAACTCAAGCACAAAAAGAAGTAAACAAGTAAAAAGTAAAGTGCTACACATGCGGGCGTAACTATCCATTGGGTGATAACTTTGTAATATATTGAAAAATACTTTAATTATTGCAATGTTCAAAAGGTTGACCTTATGAAAAAAAATCTAGGAAGTTGAAGCACTCTATATTTGATTCAAACTATTTATTTTGCTTTTAATTAAGTTTATGTCTAGTTAAAATTAAGGGAAATTCTTTTGTAGATGACTATTTAAGAGTTTAGGTGGTAAGCAGAGCATACACCAAACATAAAACTTGATTAATTGGTTTCTAGGTCGAGCTCTTTTTGAGAAAAAATGTAAATTTGATACAAACTGTTTAACTTTTTATTCAGTGTTCAATTATTATGACGTCGTAAAATTAGGAAAATTCTTTCCATTCATTATTTGATATTGTAAGAAATTAAGTAACTCCTATGTCAAAAAAAAAAAAAATAAATAAATAAAACGAATAGTTTATTCTAGGTCGAGTAGTTTTTGATAAAATCTTGGTTCACTATAATGATGACATCGTGTAAATTTTATTCAAACTATTTTAATTGTTAATGCAGTTTATTAAACTTAAGAAACTTCATTTTATTGACTATTCGAGAGTTTAAGCTTATGCAAGAAAGTTCTGGTTAATTTTGTTAAAGTTGAGTAGGTTTTGAGTAGAAAACTAAGGGTAAAATTAATAAGATGATACCATGCAAATCAGATTCAAAGTATTTAATTGGTAATTCAATTTATGGCGTATTAAACTTAGGAAAATTATTTTCGTTAATGATTCCAGAGTTTAAGCTTATGCCAAAAAAATTCTGGTTAATTTTTTTAAAGTAGAGTAGTTTTTGAGAAAACCAAGGGTAAAATTAATAAGTTGACACTATGTAAATTTGATTTAAACTATTTGGTTTTTAGTTCATTTCATAATCATTCATGTTAAAATTAGGAAAATTCTCATTAATAATTATGCGACAGTTTAAGGCTTTAATACTATAAAGAAAATCAAATCAGGAAAACAAAATTGTTTGTTGATTTTTTCGTGAGAGTTAGAAATCAGATAAAAAATTTACTCTTAGTATAAAGTCTGTTTAAATTAGGAGCTATAATCGGGTTTCTGTCGAGGTAACATTTCTCCCAAATCATATTTTGAGACCATTTATTGTTGTTTGTTTTTTGAATTTGATTATAAGTGTTAATTATTTTTTTATTGGTTGACGGTTATAAATAATCATTTCTAAGTTCAATAATTAAAATTGTCATAGACTGCCTTTGGAATTAGGGATTTTGTAATTTTAATTAATGATGAGTAGTAGTAACCTGTTCTGACTCATTACCTCGTTTGTTAAGCGTTTTATTGGTTTGTTTTCTCCTGGCCTCGTTTTCGGTTTATCTTGAAAACTCCAAAAATTTGTTCGGTGCCGGAATTTTTATAATGTTTTTTTTTCCAAATTTATGTCGATGAGCGGTTATCGGACCAAGCTCCAAGGTGTGAACCGAATGAGCGTTTACGACGCCAATAAATCATCCTCGTTTTTATTGCTCCGCCGAGGAATCCGAGCTTAATGGATTTTTGTACCCCGCGGCGTCGATTTACGATTGTTTATTTTACAGTTTGTTTGGATTGACATAGGAGAATATTTTATTTTTACCCTCGGCAATGAATTGATTGCCGCCTTGTGCGGTAGTGGTCCGTCCTAGAACGGGTGAAAAGGGAGGACGCGAACGGTACACTTTCGGCTGGTCCCATTAGCATATTTTTTCTGTTTATTTGTGACGGCTTGCAAGAGCATCGCCTGCTGTACTGTGTTTGGCATTCTTCGAATTTTTCTAACCAGTGTGAACTCTAGTATTACAACGGCAAACAGGCAAACATTGCCTAATCTATAGCCCCGTACAGCCACGTACACACGTGGTGGAGAAGTCAAATTCTTATCGTTTTCGTTTCCAATCAAATTTTCCTCATTCGTCGCTCGTGCTGGGTAAACCGTCTGATACACATACGTACAAAACAAACAATGATATTTACCAAACAATCGTTTAATTATTAAATTTTTCTAGAGATTGGTCCACTCTTACTGAGAGGTAAAAACATAGTCCTTCTGAGAAGAAACGACGCGTTTATGGATTAAACGCGCATTCAAGTTGCCACATACTTATCAAAAATATGGAAATAAAACAATAATTATGTTTTATGTTAATATTATTATTGTCAAAAAATTCAGTGTTTTTAACATAATAAGGCAATATCATCTGCAAACAAGTCGTTCAAAAAATTATTCTATTAAAAATCATGATGATATTTACATCTTTAACATATCACCATAGAAACTTAATCTAAAAAAATAGTTTAAACCGCCAAATCATACTTTTTAAGAGAAATGCTGAATCTTGAAATCAACGTCGGATAAACTTCGGCTTGGTTAAACTCTGCTCAGAGGGAATTAAATTAGGAATACCATTCCTATTCTTCAAGGTCTGCAACGGGTATCAAAGATTCAGATATACAAAAAGGTACGTTCTTCGACGAAGCAACCTCAAAATCATTTTTTGTGTTTGTATTAATTTGCCATTAAGAACAAATCATCGATCACATTCACAAAAGGTCAAATTATGGTTAACGCTTTTGGTCGCTTCATCATTTGTTTCTTCTTTCTTTTTAATTTCTTTGACGTATTTAGAATTTCAGAGTAATTCACTCAGCCATCTTTCGTTGTCAATATCTATTCATTTGTCTGCTTATGTATAAACATATCAATCTCAACTAACATTTTTTTGTTACTGTAAGTGTTCAGAGAACAATTTACTCAACCTCTCAACCTCACTCTCTCTCACATAATCTCTCTATTTCTCTCTCTCTCTATCTTTCTCGCTGCTACAGTCTTTCACACACACACACACACACACACACACACACACGCACGCACACACACACACGCACGCACGCACGCACGCACGCACGCACACACACACACACACACACACAAAATATGTCATAAATTAATTTACAAACCATACAAATAAATATATGGAACTCTGTAAATTAAGACAACAGCAAGCGAAATCACAGGGGATCAAACAGTGATTGCCTGGTTGACAGTTTTAGAATTGCTTTTTTTTATTAAAAAATATTTTACCAACCAACTGATGCAAAATGACCCAAGAGCCAACGAACTCCAAGATCACAAAGACGACTGAAAAGGACGAGATACTCCAATTTTGTACTATCCTAAACTAGTATCTATTACTGTTAAATGATTAACTTTTGCAAGCTATTTTACAAAATTTATTAATAATCTGATTAAACGAGGAACACGCTGGGCGTTTGTCTTCACATGTTTCAAGTCATATTTTATATACGATCACAACTGTAATGTGCATTAGCACAGTAAAGTTTAAAAAGATGAAAAAAATGGCAATTCAATTTTATTTTTTGCGTATGGACATTAAATTGTTAAGTAACAATAATAATTGTAAAGATGTGTTAGACAATCTCAACGTACTTTATATGCTTAAGTTCTTTCCAGGAATTCGAGAACTAAGTCTCTAGGTCGATGCTACCCGTAATGGTGTTAAGCCTGTAAAACATGGCGGAGTCACTTACATTAGATAAACCGTGTGTTAGTAGTGTTTTGAGAGGCGATATCCCGGCTCATTCCGACCCAGCTACTTAGACCGGAGATAAAACGAAACAAAACCCATTTAACTTTCTAATTACTTGGCCAGGAAAGAAAAAGGGAAAAAGATAAAGAAAAAAAGCGGCTAAATTCGCGAGCTATTTTTACGAGCGGCTTAATAACGGTGACAGGCTGTAAATTAATACATTTAATAAATAGAGGTTATAATTGTCTTCCAGTTCAACGTAGGGGATGCGTGTGGGCTGGATTTACAGCGATTGCGTGTAATAAATTATGTACAGGGGCGATCCGGCTTATTCGTATCTGGCAGAACAAGGGGGCCCACCTGTAAAATGTTTCGTAAAATAATAGCCCTTCGCTCCCCCCTCACAAAGATTTGACTTTTCGTGATTCGGTTATGTTTTAGTCAAAGTTTTTAATTATAAAAGCGTGTATTTGCTACTTTTCTAAAAATTTATTAATCTATTCAATTGGCCCAGAATCAGAGTGAGAGATAGAGATAGATAGATCGATAGGTAGGTAGAGAGAGAGAAAGTGGGAAAGAGAGATAAAGAGAGAGAGAGAGAGAGAGAGAGAAAAGAGGGAAAGAGAGAGAGGGAGTGAGAGAGGGAGAGAATGGGAGAGTCATACGAATGGATAGGCAGAGAGATAGATATATTGATATATAGATGGCTAGATAATAGATGGATAGATGGATAGATAGATGGATAAAAAAGAGAAAGAGAGAGAGAGAGAGAGAGAGAGAGAGAGAGAGAGAGAGAGAGAGAGAGAGAAAGGCGGGTGAGAGAGTGAGAAAGGGAGAGAGAGCGCGTTTGTATATTATTTAAAATCTATGACATCATGAATATACACCAAACTGAAATTAACAGAAAATAAAATATGAAGATATTGGATAAAGTATTTTAATCGTACATGAACAACAAAAAAAGTATTAAATTACAAAATTAAAATATTTGTGTATTTTTTGTCTTCTTCTGCGTTTATTAACATCGAATATGACAGGTTGATCAGTCTGATATTTGTAAAGTATTGTTTTTTTGTTCGGTGTGGGTTTTAGTAGTCAAACCACTAACACCGAAATATGCATTCAGATTTATTTCCGAAGAATTGGAATTTTTGAACCTTATTACCAACGTGTATTAAGAAAAGAGATCTGTTTGATGAACAATTTTACCAAAATGTTAAACAATGAGTAACATAATAGGAACCTTGACGCAATATCATAAAGATACTGTATTACATTTAAATTAATCTTTTCTCTTAATCCTGTTATTCTTCTGGACATGTAATTTGAGTCTAAATTTAAAAGTTTTATTACAGCTGTGTGTGATTCGTCTGTTGTTACCAACATGAAGTTTGAACGCTTAGGACACGTTTTGTATATTTGTACGGAAAGAAGAGACAACTGAAAATTAATAGAACGTGAAATGGATAATTGGGAGTAGATGATCTGACCAAAGAGGAGAGAGAGGTTATTTTAGATAGCCATACTTGGTGGTCGTGCAAGTCTTCGTATATCATCATCGCGAAGTTAGCTTTGCCGCAGCCGCTGCCGTTGAAGATCCCCCTGGTCAGGATGGCCCTGAGCAACCCATCGCATATCAACGGGCCACCCGAGTCGCCGGTGCATGGCCCGATGTTGTTAATTATGAGGCAGATTGTATTTTCCTGATGACTGGTCATGAAACGACAGACGTGTTTTGGCAGGGGAGAACTTCGCAAGACGGAGAGCCAAGTCGTACCGTTTTTGTAGTCGTCGCGGTTCCCGAAACCGGCTATGAAGCAGCTTCCTCCTTGAAACGGTGTCTTAGGGAGGTTGACATAAATCGGCAGAAAGTTGTAGGTCTGCACCACCGCTATGTCGTTTTCCTCTTCGGGCCAGTAGTAAGGATGCACGAAGGCTCTCATGACGTTAAAGCCGATATAACGGGCTTTAGAGGTCAGGAAGTACACCCTGGCTAGTTCCGGATCGAATCGATCCGACCTGTTGCTGACGATGCAGTGTGCCGCTGTAACGACCATGTCCATCTTGATGACAACGCCGGTACATGATTTATTCTTTTTATTCAAAGAGGACCAATTTAAAATAAACACCACAAATCCGAAATGAAAATTCTTCTTTATAACCTTTCCTCCGAACATGACGCCAATATAAAATCTGACACTGAACAGCTGTCCACGTATTTTTAATAGAACAATTGATTTTAATCATTCTACATTACTTTGGTAATATTTTGAACTATCATTTTTAATTCAAAATGTAATTACTTGTAATTAAATTTGAATTTTCATTTATATAAGCTCAAATTCGCAGATGTGTGTACATACATACACACATGCAATTCCAGCTTTTGCAATTTACAATAAATTGACCACCAGCCCAGCGCATGCAGTTTCAAACCCATCCATATTCACGTTCATTCTTAAATACAAATTCGTCCAAAACTCTTTACCTATATTATACAACTAACATCACTTTGAGGGTCGAGGGAGGGGGTGGGAGAGGGAGAGGGNGTGAGAGAGAGAGAGAGAGAGAGAGAGAGAGAGAGAGAGAGAGAGAGAGAGAGTGCCATTCCTGCTCGCTCTCTATATGGAGCCAAGATATTGCACCCCTCAACTAAAAGGGACACATCGAGCAACTTTTCTCTACATACGCGGGCTTTGGCCCAAAAGTAAGTATTCACCAGTCAGATCTTCCGACGTCCACTTATCGACAGTGTTCTTGATCTGTGAGAACCTCCCAGCCGACCGGCCAACCGACGATGCCATCAGAGGTTGGGACTTTCCGGCCTTAGCCGCCTCGACCGCCTTTGTAATTAAATTCTAATACTATTTTACATTGCTAATTCCTCCAAACGACAGAACCATTACGCTTTTTATCAAAATGATGACTTAATATTCCCTGCAAAATTAAAAATGTTCCTCGTAGAAAGTAGTTGTAAAAAAAGTGTTTGTAATATGTAAAAATAATTTCAAATCTATTCGCTTTGTGCTTAAAACAACGATAGATCGGTCACTTATAAAAATTATCTGCCTGTAGTTTACAAAAGATATCGTGGACTGAATATTTTAATTTTTTATTACATAATGAACACTTGGAATTAGTGTATCTTCTTAAGTGATAAAAGAAGCTGTTCAGGTTAATTTTAGTTTAAAATTGACGGATTATTTTCTAGAAGGTTGAATTTTTTTTATCGCTGATGATCAGGCAAATTTTCCTGCTTATCATGTTTCAAAACAAATTTAATAATGTTCGTGTTAAAGTTATGTAAAGTGTAGATATATCATGCAATTCCCATAGCAAATCTATTCTTTAAAAAATTTTTACCTCTTATTATAAACAATAAAACTGGGAGAAAAACTAGAACAAGTGACCCACTTTTTTACGAGGAGGCTTCTGGGTCTGTGGGATTTTAGGGAAATCCGAAAGGACCACCAGACTCCTTAATAACAATGGTATGCAGGGGCCTGAGAATAGAGGGCTGCGGCCTTCCCAAGGAGAGGCAGCATGGATAAAGACAGGTACTCCTGTTGACATTGATTAGCCGTAATAAGTCAGTTGAAATGTTTGTTGCTCACTCACTCAGCTCGTTTCTGCTGAGCTGGCGACCAAGTGGAGGAAGCCACCTTGTTCGCCCGGCCGTACAATGCCGCTGCTTTGTCGCCTTTCGCCTCTCCAGCAGCCGACGACGCCTCAATCAAAAAAGCCGGCTGTGAAATCAGACCTTTTGTCAGGCAAACTCGATGTCATCCTTTCAAGTTTTGACCTCTTGGACCCGTTTTAACCTTTTCTAGTCGTTTCTGGCAATGCCGGCAAACATAATTATAGTTATTAATATGAACAATGCATTTCGTAATATTGTAATGCATATTATGATCGATTATGTAGACTTTCGAGTTAATTTTTTTTTTAATTATTCTAAGATGTGAAAATGAATTTATACAATACTCTATATTGCGACATCATTGTATAAATTCGCAGTCATATCTCTTATGTGTATTTGTTTAATTTAAACAACGTTTATAAATCCCAGGTCCTGAAGGTGATATAAATAAAGATCGAAACATTGTTCTAAACCTACATCCCAGAAGACCGCATCTCACGATCTCTAAGTAATCATTAATTAACGGCCACTAAATACTACACATTATTTTTTAAAATAAATAAAATTCAAATGAGTCCGTTTAGATCGTTGATATATTAGTTCTAGATTATTGGTTGGCACAAAAATAAAGTAAAAACTAAGTGAAAATACAATAAACTAATCATTTACAACACAAACTGTTATATTATAAACATAAATAGCCTGAATAGAACCCCACATATTGTCATGGTTTGATTGGATGGATGGATATAGTAAATGTATATTGATAATGAGAGTAAGATAAGGGTTTGGGAGAAAGAGAAAGAAATAGAAAAAGAAAGAAAGAAAAACAGATAAAGTGAAAGAAAGAGAGTCAGACTGAAGGTGAGAGTGAACGAGAAAAAGACTTGCGAGTGAGAGCAGAAAAACAAAATAAAAAACAGAAAAAGAATGAAAACTTTATTACGTCATGGGAACAAATTCATTTAAGGTCATCACCAACAAAGAATACAAATTATAAAAATAGGGCTCTCTGAGAACTAGAACGATAATTCAAACTGGATAGGTAAAATAAGTAATAAAATGAAAATTACATAAAATGCAATAAATCGATTTTTCAGATGTACCCAACTATTAGCACATGCCAGCAGTATACACGGATATTAAATAACTATCAAACGTTAATATAAATTCGACCAAGAGTTGAAAGAATTTTTGTAAAGTAAACATTGTATATAGATAGGGAAGAAAGAGAGAGATAGAAAGAGAAAAAGGGAGGGAGAGAGAGGAGAGAGAGAGAAGAAAGAAAGTGAGTGCACCAATCCATTTAATGAAATAAATTAAAAACCTTCTAACCATTCTTAGGTTTGTTTGGTTTGTCTATGAACGAGAATGTAAGAAAGAATCCATTATATTTCGTGGTCCGATTGACCAAATGACTTCTTTCAATCAATTAATGTTTATGTAAGGTATTGGTTCAAATGAAAAAGTTAATGTCACGAGCGGGATTCGAACCCACGACCTTCGGCTCAATCGGCCGCTGCTATAACCACTTGAGCTATCGTGACTTCGACCCACTCGGACATCAACTACCCATCTCAACCTACCTTTTGAATTTTCCCTACTTTTTGCCATTTTTCAAATGTCGTGTAATCAGGATTCGATTCTCGGCGACAAAGGAAATGACCACGAAGATATACTTCGGTTTACTTATTAAATCCATTATATTTCGTGGTCCGATGGAACAAATACTTCTTTCAATCAATTAATCTTTATGTAAGGCATTGGTTGAAGTGAAACACACCGCTCGTGACACTAACTTTTTCATTTCAGCCAATACTTTACATAAAGATTAATTGATTGAAAGTAAGAATGAATGACAATAAGAAAGAAATAGAGATGGCCATGCACTCATCCGCAATGTCCTTCTACTACATTTATCAGATCGATAAATTCTTGAATTGTTTATCAAGCGAATTTTTTTATTTTATTGTATTATATTTTTATTTTGTTTTTAATTTACTCTCAACGTTTTTTTTTCTTTGGCGAGACACATTCAATACCCTTGGGGGGTCACCACTCGAATCGGAGGGACCAGTACGAGAGCTCTCACGTATCTCATCACTTAAAATAATTAGTTTTTCAATTAAAATTCGGCGCTCTAGTGGTTGAACGATTGTCCCCCTTCTCTTATTATCAATCATTATATCATTCGCCCATATTTTTAACCTTTTGTTGTCAGTCGAAGGCGTTGCCGCGAGGGGTATTGTCGGGCCAGCGGCTCACTACCCACACTACCCGATCATGGTACGAAATTATGAGGTCACTTGTCATATTTCTATTTTCAAAATAATATGCCGCTTAAGTGTGAAAAAACACAGTGAATAAATAAAAAATGTGGTTTTTGAAAAGTGGATTTTTTCTGATTTCAGGTTACCAAAGCTTGCACTGTTTGCCAAGTTTGTCATCTGCCTCCTGATGGTGAGTCGCTTTTAATACAATTTATTCAATGTAGTATTATGTCAGAAAAGGCAAATTTGCATTTTTTATTTAATTAAACAAAACTTGAAGCCACGTGTAACCTTGATAGAATATTGCCCCAATACCGGCTTTCACATGTTATTATTATTAGTATTTTTATCTAATCTCTTAAGGGAAATGCTTTTAAAAAAAAAAACTTTTTAAGAGGGAAAAGAAAATTAACAACATTTTGACATTTTTTAAAATACAACTGAAACACCGTAAAACAACTTTTATCGAGTTTTCCTATTTTTATTATCTCTAAATGCTTGAGTCTCCAAACGAAACGGTAGCAAGTGTAAGCAAATAGGTGCTAACAAAATGTGACTTTAACAAATGATAAAGTATGTACTTGCTTATGGATGACAATTGTAATATTAACCGATTTTAAAGACATGTACCTTACTTACACTTCAGTTTAATAGTAAAGCACTTTACTGCGTCCATGTTACTTTTTGAAGTTTTTCTTATTCAAAATTATATGATGATTTACAATTCGTTCTACTTTTTGTTTTTTCACCCGTTGCTTGTAATTTTTTACATCCAGGGTTGGCCGTGAAAATAAATATGTAAGATTTTTATTTTTAATAGCAAAGTTTTAAATACCTAATTTGTCGATCTTTAGATTGTACAATCTGATAGAATATAGCCGGAATTATTAAATGCTATCTAAGAAAAACATTTCTTAAGATTGACACTAAATATGCTCAGAAAAAAATCAAATTGACTTGATAATTAATTTTAAAAATATTTTTGTAATTACTAATGAAAATAAAACAAATGTAACAGAATTGAAAGGGGCCTATCTTGTTTTGAAAACCATTTAACTAAAACTAGCGTAAATCGTATCAAATTTTAAAAGGAAAATTAACGCGTATCAATTTTTTATGGACCATCCATTGAATATTTGGCTGTTTTGAAAATTGTTTTTATTATCATTACTGGTTATTTTCCAAGGAATCTTTGTTCCCTTCAGAATGACCGACACAATTTTTAAGTATGTCCTCTTTTAGGGTCGTACCATTTTATGTCCTTAAAATCGAAAAATTATACATTGTTCAAATATTAGAGAAAATGATAGAAACAAAAATCATGCCAACCGGCCTCCGTCTTATCTCTATTCAAAATTTATTTTCTTTCGAAAAGTTGAAAAAGTTTCTTTTTTATATTGTCGGCTATGCTCTCCTAGATAAATAACTGTAAAAATAAATGCAGAGGGACTTTCTATTTTTTCTCGTATTAACTCAAAGTACTATTTCACAAACTTCCAATAGATCTATTTTACAATATTTTATATATTTTCATTCAATTATTTTATTTTTATTTTATACGTACAAGCAGAGACTACGGACGCGGGATCACAGACTTTAATGAAAGTTTTTAGTAAGAAAGTAAGTGAAAAACTTAAAAAAAAAATGAAATTGTTTTAGGCACCATTTAAACAACTTACACGCAAGTTTCCTTGTAATCAAAAATAGGTATTTTTAAACCGGACTGCCAATCTATTTATCATTAAAAATTGTTAATCCCTGAATTTTTTCTAATTAAAAAACAATAGTTGCAAAGCAGAATATTTCTCGTTTCAGGCCTTACCAATAATATTCAGATTTTATTTCAATACAAATAAGAAGAATAAGAATGAAATAAAGCAAAGAAAGTAAATGAAAACTGCTCTAACATTTTAATATATTTCTCTCCATTACATGAGTTCATATGTTTTCAAACCCTTGCAAAGTTTCCGGTGGGTCGGTGGAATTGTTGAAAAGTTTGTGATTTTCCAAAAAAATAGAAGGTATTTTAATGGCGAAAATATTGACAAAATAATTTATCTTTTGATTTTACCTAAAATTTGTATTAAAGTTTTTTGTTTTTGTGGGGGTGGGGGTGCAAAAACGATTAACATTTTTGTTCTTGCTAAAATCTATTGTAACCCAGTTTGCCAAGTCGCTTACCAACTTTATTAGAAACTGCAATTGAATTTTGTACCGTTTTATAGATGTCTCATTTATTACGATTCTTCTTATTATTTTCTTATCCTTCCTTCCTTTTCCTAAGAATCGACTGAGATATATATATAATAACCTCGAAATAATGCTCAATAAAGGCAGAAATATATATTATAAATAAACTTGTTTCCTTTTTTTAAATTACTGTGTATAGTGTGACCCCTAATATTTCTGATGAGGAAGCCCTAAGGCATTGAAAATTCATTCACTTGAACACAAGAATCCGGTTGAAATTAAAACCCTACACACAGCATGTAGTCACAACAATCAAGATAAATATAGAAGAAAAAACGGAAGAAATAAAGCATTTCCTCAAAATACTTATTTATCGCTTGTACGCTCTTACTAGCAAGAACAATTGAACGCTCGTCTATATGTTCAACTTAGCATAACCAAAATTTTTATTGAAATCTGCAATCTTATTCAATTCCAAGTCATTTTCCAAAGCTGTAGGAGGCAAAACCAACGAGTCGAGACTTCTATGCGGTCCCATTTCCGCTTCCGAGTCACTACCCTCATGACCCGCATCAACTTTGGATCATCCAGGAGGTAAACAATCCCGATAGGGCGGCACGGCAAAGGAAAATAATAATAAAAAAAGCCTCTTTCGCGGCATTAGCCCATTTGTCAGATATGTTCAAAGTTCCAGATAAATCGGAGATTGTCAAAGCGCGGCGAAGTCTTAAGTGTTTTGTCCAACTTACTTCCGAGGCTAAATCAAAAGCCATCGAGGTAAACAAATCCTCGGTTCGGTCCGAGTCCTGGAGCAACTTGTGACAGCGTTATTTACAAAGAAGGGCCCTCGGAATCCGCCCCATATCGGACGTTGCCCTTTCCCTGCCCTTTTCTGATTGATAGTTATGTTTGTACAGAAACTGTCTTTTTCTTTATTATTCCTCGTCCAGGGCTTTAGGCAGCAACGCGGGAGTGATTGATCGCGTCTAGGCTACGTGTTTGCTTGTAAACGATCCTCTTTCATATACAAATGACTTTTTCGAACATTTTAGAAAACAAATCCGCTCATATAATTACACGCGTGGTTGTAGAATACAAATTTTATTCAATAACTTTGAAATGACCCATGAAAACAATGTTTCATGAAAAAAGGGTTGATTTATTGTAAATAGCAACACTTAATCAAGGTATTAAACTGTTAAATCAAATTACATACGATTAATGGATTTACTGGAATGAAATGACAACTAGTAATATTGCTTAATCTAAAATCTTTTAACAGAAAACATGTACCTTAGAAAAAACTCTTCTTGACAATAGGGACAGTTCAGGGACAGACTTCTTCCTGGTGGGTACATTTTAATGCTTTTGACCTCTTTCATCAGTCAAAAAATCCTTTGATTTTTTAATCAAAATATTGTACCCAAATATTATATTATAAAAGTCAAAAAATATTTCCTGTAGGAACTAAAGTATTGAAGAAGAAGTGATACAAGAAAGTTGCTCTGGCTGATGAACGTCTATTAAAGGCTCTAAGCGTTGTTATCAGTAGATAAACACATCAAATTCAAATTTCCTAACACTTTCACGTTTTATATTTGTTAATCCAAAGCCTTATTAAAAATCAAAAACAACTATTTTAATTTGAAAATAAATAAAATATTGATTTAAATGTTATGGTACTGTTGATAAAATTTGACTGCTTCCATGTTTTCTCAACAAATATATAATTTTCTACGTGTTTTCTGCTACCATTCAGTTTTATATAAAAATATTAAAAACTAAAAAAACTAGTTAAAGGGTTAAATTTCTTACAAGAATGAAGTTCTGGAGTGGAAATAAGGCCACATGAAGTACATCCTGCTAATGAAAAACTTAGTTTTAGGACCGGTACTCACGGTTTAGGTCATATTATCAGCTAGAAAATAATATTTGCACATAAGTAAAACGCGCAATGTAAAATGTGAACATTGGAGCCTGCTTTTCCCATGTAGTTGTTTAATGAAATAGATTGAACAAAAACAAACGTCAAACTGTTCACTGTATAGTTTCATTCAAATATTCAATTTTAAGATTTAGTTTATCAAACAACAGCTAGTTTAAAGAAGGTCTAACTTCCATATGAGTAATAGTAGAAAGTCTTGATAGAATACAAGTGATTTGTGAGATCGTGATTCATGCTTGAGAAAGTCTGGTGCTTCTGAACGTTGTCGAGGCCAAAATTGTTGTAAGTACACTTGCCAGACAATATAGTAAACTTATTATGTCAAATTTGTAAACTGTATATTTAAAGTAAGAAATAATCATAGTTGTTTCTTTATATCTAAAAGACATATCTGTTATGATTATCTTTACTTGAGATAACATTGAAACTATTGTTTTATATATAAACAATAAAAAAGGGATCGAGTAATTGTTCTTTAGATTGTATTCCGTAAGAACCGCCGTACTCATTGTTTAATACATAAAACTTTTATTTGATTGATTTTTATTTATATGCTACAATTAGACATGTGGATATGAGCGTGTGGTTCATCAAACGTATTAAATAGTTAATATTAAAGCCAATTAACTATTTATATCGAAAATATTTATATAGTATTTTTGAAAGTTAATAAAAAGTAGTCTCAAATTGGAATAACAAGAGAAAAAAAACTCCCCCTACAATTTTTGCGAAACTTATGTATGAAGTTTTTTCAAAGGATAAATATTTTTACCGAAAAAGTTAATCAGACTAAGTGCCCCGTATTGTTTTTCACGGTTCATAGTTTACACAACACTAAACGAAAAAAAAAAGTCACGCCCCAAAAAGGAAAAACCTGCTCTATTTATGTCCCCAATTGACCACCGACCCAGCCACATTCCGCGGACACTCGTAAACAATTGTCTTTATCATTTTTTATTTTATTTGTTATTGCTTATCTGCGCTGGGTTGAAAATTTTGAAGAGCCCATCGATTTCCTTGTCAGCGAGACTCGAGATTCCTATGATTCTACTCGCTGCATATTTTTTAATTGTCGGCACTTATGGATGAAGTACATATATACTATCTTATTTTGCTGTGTTTGTCTTTTATTCTTGTTTTAAAATATTATTGCTCATATGTTTCGGTTATATCTTTTTCTGCAATAATCCTTGCAGAATTGGGTGGCGGGGCGACCAACGCGTATTTACCACGCTAGCAGTTCTTGGTTCGAATCTCAACTTATCCCATTTCCGTTTTAATGTAACAGTAATACAAAAAACTATTGTAAAGTGGTTTCGTCCCTCGACCGCATCCCTCAACAGATAGTTGGACTACAAACCTCCTGTATGACTGGAGTTACTTTTCAATACAAATTATCCTCGTCGTTCTACAAGTTGAGAATTTTTCCAAGTTTCAAAATAAAGAAAAAGCAAATGAACATAAGTAAACATAACTAGCCATTGGATAATTAAAAATTAGTTTGCTAATAAAAAACAAAACATTAACATGGGCTAGATGTATTTGTCTTTGAACCATTTTCCTTCATATCTATGTATTGTATATTCGATATAATTACCGAAACGGATCTGTTGTCAGACATTAGATCGTCCTTGATCATCATCTCGCGAATGAACTCACATCCACTTGAAATGTGGAATTTGACAAGGGCATAAAGCGAAAATAAGAGGACCAGGTTGATCGGGGTCGATCCAACTGCTGATAAATTTTCAAAAACTCGCATACCTACCAGATTCTTGAGAAGAATTAGTATCTGTAACACTTTTGTGTGTTAATGATATATACTATTATACAAACAAACCGGGGTTTAGGCTTCAGATAAGGCATTTCAAGTTAATAAATCTTACAACGTTAATGCTACTCTAACTAATTAAAAACTGAAAAATATCACTTCCCGAAGAGTGAAGATTCATTCATACGATGAATATTACCAGTCATCAGAATGTTGGCAACAATTAATAAAATTGTCTGAATGTCAAGAATATGAAACATGTCAGAAATTGATTTTACGAGTACCATTGAGGTATAGATAAAAACACTTATCAGTAAACAGGATCCCTCGGATCATTTGTTTTTGCGATTTGACTCACCTTTTGTTTTCGTGTTTTCAATAACTTTTTTGTGTTTTTGTTTTTTAGGTAGTAATGCCTGAAGCAGCGCCAGTGGAGAGCTCAGTCCAGCTCTACAACCAATGCTCCGAAGGTTTGGTTAAAGTCAGTCCTGCCGGCTTGGTCTACACCGACCGCAAGAACGACGACGGTTTCGGTAAGTTAATGGAACATATTCTAACATGTCGTATCTTATTTAGGAGATCGAATATTTGATTCGTAAAACCGACAGTTTAGAGTAAAACAATCGAAAACAGTGAGACTCTCTGATCGATTGGCTTTCAAACAAACTGTTTACAATATCGGTAAAACGGGGGGAGGGTCGATGGTTGCGACGGTTAAGGATCATCATCAAGGAACCTGACATACTTACAAACGGGCTTGTTTTGTTTATTCAAAAACACAGATTCCTCGAGAGTTATGACATCTGCAGTTGCGAATCATCTTAAATTTTTTGATAGCGATAAAAGTGCCCTAGTTTGAAATACCCGATATGACAAAAATTCCTTGTGATATTTAAACTTAATATTATTATTGTGGGGTGTTATTAAGTTTGCGTAAAAAACAAAGAAAACCCATTTTTACCCGGCCCGCGTATTTTCATGTCTTCGTTCTACCTTGGCATCGTGGCTATTCTGAATATGTAGTACTGGATATTTTCTTCTTATGTAAATATTGTCAAGTATTGCCTTTAGTGAGTTATTTAAAAAAGGTTTCAAACGGTTCAACTTAAATATATATTTATTTTGTTCAATTTGACCGAATATACCGTTTTCTTCCATTCATCAAACTTAATTGATTTAATAAAATATTAAAATCCCATAGATCAAATTGTTAATTTATGCTTGTCTGTTTTTACTTGCATTCATACAGTATTTTGTTAGAATATAACTAACTGTACATGTTTGAAAGAAACGCAATGTTTTAAGTTTAGCTCAACACATAGATAGGACAACAATGCTTTACGCAATAAATATTTCCTCAAGAGGAAAAATAACTAGCCACATGATCACTTCCGAGAGAGGAAGCATGTATTTGTGAAGTCTTGATTATTTATGGCCATGGTAAATTAGTTCTGGGCATTGGGCGAGAATACGGACGGCATTTGTCCGTTGAAGGTTTAGCCTACATGGAACGCCTGCTTATTTTTGCAAAATCCTTTTTGTACTCGTACACGGAAAAAATCTTTATGAAATTTTAAATAATGTTCAAACATGCTAAGAAAAAAGAAAAGAAATTGAAAAAAAATAATAATATGAAGCTAAATAACAGAACACACAAAACTTAATTATTATCACTAACTATAAAGGTCAGAAGTTTTTTTAAATATCTGTTACAAGATTTTTGAATTTACATAACAGATTTTAATGAAACTTTATGTACTGATTTAGTAAGTAAATCAAAAACTTATTTTTTTAAATAATTTGGATTCGTTTGAAGCCCCTTTCAAAAACATCAAATATGAAATTAATAAAAAATAGATTTTTGTGCCAGATTTGCAAGGGGAAATTTTGAACCCAACGTCCGGTGTTCCACTTAAAAATTCATAACTCCTATGAATTTTATCCAAATTGAACGTTTATAAACCGTTGGCAATCGAAATATTTTTTCTTTTAGATTGTGTCAACAAGATTTGGATTTTATGACGTTATAAATGAGAAGTAAGGATAAAATAAAAAAAGAACACTGGGCACACGTATTATGTTATTTTCCCGGGTCTAATTTATTTACGGAGATGGTGTTTGTACAGTAGTGAAGTTTATAAGGTTCTAAAGCCCTACCATGTTTTCTGTAGATTGGTGATTTTGTGATCACCATTTTTGAGATTTTTGAAGAAAAAATGTGACTCATTTTTAAGATGAAAGACAAAAACTTTGTTTACAAAAATTTGAATTCTAGGGTTTGGAGGGTAGAAAATCAACTATGTTTTCTATCAACCTTGTTCCTTGCTAAAAATATTTAAATTTTTAACCTATTTTGCAACGACGCTAACCTACTTTACTGATAACGTCTGTTAGTTTATGTACGTTTTGTATTTTTTACATATCTTCTTTAATAAAATTAGGCTTATTCGTTCTTATCTTGGATAAAATAAAAAGTATATTGTTATATAATATAAGTATGTATTGTTTAAAAATTACTTATATTATTTTTGTTTCTCCGCTCCAAAATACTGGCAATACACATATCTAATATTTTCATCCTAGTATCATCAAAATACCCATGCGATTATTATCCAGGCAAAGAATCTATTTTTGTGACTATCCCAAAAATCGAAGATGGAAGGCGAACGTTTTCAGAAAAAAAATAATACCTTTGTTTCTTGACAAAACATTTTGTATGTATATCGCAGATATTGAAATACAAAAATTTTGACTACGGCATTAGGTATTAGGACGTACGCTGGTTATATTGTCAACTTTTGGTTAAATTAGATCTGGATAAATACATTTGAGTAAACTGGACTATGAATGAATTTGATATTGGCTAGTTGCCAGTTTTGCTCGTTGTTTACGACTTTGTATTAACAAGTGCAATGGCTTAAATTCTTGTTTGTTAATTTCTTTAAACTCTGGCTTGGAGCAATCATGTTTGCGTCTATCAAACTAGGATACAAATTGATCATGACGAAACAGGTCAGTCATTATAGCCCAACACATGCAGTTTTAAATTTAAACCCACTCTTAAATATATTATTTTCTATTTTATATACAAGAGGGTTGTCTTTTTCCCCCATCACTCTTAACACATACTACCTTCCTCTAACTAACCTAACTGAGGCCTTATAGTACTTACCTTATAGGACAATCAATTCATTCACAAAATATCTATAAAGTTAAACAGCCCTGTTTCCCCCAAAATCGCAACTGTGAACCCAAAATGCTGTTAACGAAATTAATCATGGCTGCTACTTTGTGTTAATTCATCTAAAATTCTACATTTATGGCTAGTCCGCCCATTCTCGTTGTTCCATGTTTGATTGTTTTTTCGAATATTTATTCAACGTTAATTAATAAAATCATTTACAATTTTTTATTTATACACAGTCAATCAAATCAAGTCAATCAATATCACAAATGTTTTTGGTCAATAAAACACCTAAAATTTTGTACCAATACTATTTTAATACCTTATACAGTATAGTAAACAGAGGTTGACCCCTGAGTGAAAGAAGCGATTCTATTTTTTCTCTTTAAATTACACATCACATCGAAAGCGATTTACGATCCAATAATAATGTCCTACTCGGGCCAATTAGTCTCCCTTAATTGGAGTTATTTAACGGGCGGCCCTCTCCCGGCGAAAGAAACAATCCAAATTGGTTAATAATTCGATGAGTTGCCAGTGCCGGTAAAAAGGGCTGTTTATCAAAAGACGATATTTCGAAAGAGGAAGGCTCGCCCGCGGAGGATGTACGAGCCATCGGACCGGACAAATGTGAATTAGTGGCTAACTAATAGGCCTGCTTCCAATCAGTGTCTGAGCTAAATAAGTATAACACCTCTCGCCTGCTATTAGCTAATATTTATCCCTCTCTCCGACATTTTTTTAATCCCTCCTTCGGAGATTGTTGAGCGTCCTGGCGACTCCCACGTTCGAACCCAGGGATTCTCATTTACGAAACTTCCATATATTGGAAAAAAGGGTGGATATATATATTTTTTAAAATTAATATTGAGGAAAATTTATTTTTGTATAAAAGAACAAAGAAAAGATTTATTGTATAAAATTACAATGTTGAACATAGAATATGAACTATTATGTCAAATAAACAAACTTCCGGCAGTTCAGATCTCAGGGAAAATGACATTTTGAGATGTCAGAAATCTGATTCAAAAATATCAAACCAGCCACTGTGTAAAAGAATCTCAAACGTCAAACCACATAACAGTGTCTGCGTTCGCCAGCTTCAATGTAGGCTTATGTAATAAAAAGTCGAATTAAATATCCATAAATATAAATAACGCAAACCCAATGTCAGACCAAAACGGCGAGTATAGGAACTGAACGTTCGGAAACGACGAAAGTATAAACTCATCAGACTGTATGACTTACAGACATCGAAGGGAAATTGTCATACTACTTCGGTTGTTCAGATTATTGTCATAATGCAATGTGTGAGAAAAAACCAAATTTTTCAAACCTCTATAAAAGAATAGAAGGTAAATAGGCGAAATCGAGCGCCAATTTGGACCAAACAGGTTCACGTCGATCACTTTTTTCGTTTTGTTTTTCCTTAAGTTAAGAATGCTGTACATAATGTTGGAATGTATAAAGAGAAATATTTCGCATTTCAACGCAGTGGATTGCATTCCTTGATTCTGCTATCTCCAGCGTTAACCAGTCTGACCGGTACTTTTGTATCTGAGGCTATCGCACTCAAATGGACGTTTGACCATTCGTCATAATTGGCCATGCCGCAGTAAAGCGAAGTATCATTCTGTCCTATTTACATCCGAGAGAACGTAAAAGCCTTTCTTTACAATGTTGTTAGTTCACCGTACGGCCTTTTCAGCGAGAAAAAGCGGCCGACTGAATTTACGGTCGTCCACCTTATTGACACATATGGGAATTCTTGATGGCCCAGGCTTTTCTCGGAACCCGTGTCCCTTTCAAGTTATATAATCCGGGTTCGGCGCCGGGAGACGCCTACGCGGCCGACTGCGAGGGCGAGATGCGGCCTCGTGTAAAACAGAAGTGGATTTACGAGGCCGACGGCAAATAGGCCGCATGGCGTTAATTGCCAGTGAAAAAAAGACGGTACAACCATCACGTTGATGCGACCATCTATATAATAAATGGCTCGTGTGATAGTTTGAAAGACACAAATACTGTAAACACGACAGTGATAGGTGATTTTTTAAATGTCGATGATGATAAGACGTCAGAAGTTCAGCATTGGATGCACTGGTTTTGCATATCTGAACATAGCAAAAAATATGCGCAATACCTATACAAAACATCAGTTGTAAATATGAAAATGGATTAACCTTAAGAAGATAAACTCCCAGTGAGATGAATGTAAAATTGATGTTTATTTTATAGTTCAACATTGTACATATTATGTATATTTTAACTACAGTTTTCTTCTCAACCGTTTTTGCATAAAAATTGACTGCCTTTGCTGGCAATGTTTTCCCCGGGTTTAGTTGGAAT